ACAAAGTACCCGATCAACGAAATAAGGCAGTGAAACAAGTACGATCAACACAAGTAAAACAAAAAGAACAATACGATCGACGCATTAACGTTACACCTGCGTTTCAAATAGGCAAAAAGGTTTTATTATTCGATGCGGCTCACCAGATGTCCTATAGCCACAAACTAAACCCAAAATGGAAAGGTCCATTTTTCATACATAATGTTTTAATTAATGGGTCTTATAAATTACGAACGTTGGATGGGAAAGTTCTTAAGTCTCCCACCAACAAAGCCCAGCTAAAAAGATACCTGGAAGCCCAACGAAAGAAGTAGTCTAAGGGACGACGAAACGTAGAAGGTGTTTAGAAGAAAGAAGGAGGTTTAGAATAAGGAGGGGAGAGAATAAGAAAAAGATAACAAAAAAGGAAATTAAAGACAAATTTTTTTCTTTCAAAAAAAAAAAAAAAAAAAAAAACCTTAAAATTCAACAATAAAAATGACGCATACGATCGATGAAGTAATCAACGACTTATTAGCAGCAACTCCACGTGAGGTTCTGATCACGCCCCCGCCCTATAATGAAAGGCAAACTTTGTATGAAAAGGTTGACATAACCTACCGACATATGCTAAGGAACCAAAAGTTCAAAAATAGAATTGGAAGCTTAATCTATGGCTTCTATCTGGGGAAGTTATTAGATGAAGCAAGTCCGAAAAAACAGACCGAATATCGAAAGAAGATTACAAAGCACTATTATACGGCCGCGATCAGAATTTACTGGTTATTCGAAACGTACGGAATTGAACAAGTATATCGAACACATAAGTTAATTCTATCTGATTTCGCAACTATGAAGGCAGCAGACTTCCAAAGCTTATTTTAGTTCATAGAATGAACAAACTAAGTGGAGGAAAATGTAACGATTAAGAATGAATCGACGATGCATTAGGCGCAAATGGTGGATCGATTGCATAATTATTTACATTGCATAATTAGTCTATATAGCAGATATAGCAGATTTGACCGAAATAGCATAACTAGCACATATAGCATATATAGAATAGTTAGTATAATTAGCGAATATAGCATATTATGTAGATATGTAATTAGTATATAAGTGTGAGCATTTATTAAGTTGTAAGGTGTCTCATAAACATCATAATTAATAAACTATCTCCTTGGCTCCACCAAATCAAACGTCCTCTTTCGAGACATTACATTATTTTCGTTGAACGTTATGCAAACCCTTTCCCGGTTTACCCTAACGAGTAGGGATTTTAAGGCGAAACGATTTACGAACAATTACACTATATCCAAAATTACTTTAACTCAGAATTTTTGACAAAAACTATATAATTTTATTGGTTAATAATTACATGTAGATCTACAAGTCGATATTAATATATATAAAAAATTTTATATATATAAAAAACCCCAGATAGCCAGATCTAAAAATTTTGCCAATATTATGAAAACTAGTTAATTTTATTTATATTACCTTAGACAAAAATTATATTTTACTGTATTTAAATTATATTATAACAATTTAATTGTAAAAAACTTAATAGAATAAAAAAATATTTTTACAATATAAATAAAAGATTTTAATATAAGGTTGAGTCAATAGAAATCAAGCAAATTTTTTCTAAATAAAAATTTTTTTAACTTTAAACAATAATAACTCAACAAAAACATAATCAAATTTAATAAAAATTTCTTTAAATAAATTCTATAAACTTATAGAATTTGTTTAAAAAAATTTTATTAAATTTGATCAAGTTTTGGTTAAGTTTGACTCATCCCATATATTTACAATGTTTATTATTGTTAATTTTAATAATATTATAGCTATCTAGTGAATATATAATAGCTATATTATAAATATATTTAGCAAAAAACCAAGTTACTGCAAAGCTAATAAATAATACTTTTGTACGTTTTACACTACATTTTATAATAGCACAGGTAGCTTAATTTCTAAAAAACGAGAGTAAACTTAACGGATGAATTAATGCTTTCGCTTCGCCTTATAACATGTTCTTTGAATCACCTTGAATCCCACACTTTTCTGATTGGCCGATTTACTAAAATTCGATATCGGAATCATCAACGAATTTGAACGGATCGGATCCAAGTCAGATCCGATAAGGTTTCGGATCCTAACTTGGATCCGATCCGATTTTTTCGGATCAAATTCGGATCCCTAAAAAGATCCGTCCAACCCGGTTCGTACGGAACACTAACTTCAGGTGCCTGAAGTTGCACCTGACTGAAATTAGCCCCTGAAATTAGATCATCCTGCACGGACCAGTTAGCTGTTTTAGGCAGGTGCCAACTTCAGGTACCAACTTCAGGCAGATGTCAACTTCAGTCACGACATAGCTAAAGTATTTAATTTCTAAGGCTTTTTTGAAAAAACATTTTGCTTGTTCAGATTATTTCAATTTATTTAATTAACTTTCGAATCATTTAAGGCATTATAAAACTATGTTGAGTTTAAACTTATTGGTACCTTACCAAGTACAAGAATGACTTGTAACTGAATAGCTTTTTACTAATCCGTTATCCATTTAATTTTGACTTCAAAACCTGCATTCCTTCCTGAAGTACTTCAAATTTTAATTGATAAAAATCGGCTAAAAATGGTGAAACTAATAGAATGATTTATTTTTATGTTAAAGATTGCTATCAATTTGAAACTAGAAAAAACATTCCTAAACCCAGAATTTACAAATTTATCGTAGATCTAATTGTATGTAACTTAAAAAAAATATTTGTACATGGTGTTCACTCTAAATTTGTTCCCAATTAGAAGGGATAATCATATATGAATCAAAAAAAGATCGTTCACAGTGTGATAATATTTCGATAATCTTGCTTTGTCATTCTTAATAATTTTGCTATTTAAAGCATTCATTTAAATAAATTGATAATTTACATATTTGTCGTAGATCTAATTGAACAGTCCCAGTCAGGGATTTTTTTAAATTCGTGTAACGCAGATTATTTCTCTTTTTTGTACCGATCATTAGCTGTGTTATTAAAGCCTCGGGGATTCCTAAACTACATATTCATAGAATAACTTTTGCAAGAAAATTTTAAAGGATTTTTTAAAACTGATTGTTATTTTTAGATAATAAAAAATGCCTTTTTTTTAAATAGAAATCAGTTTTAGAATAACCGTTTAGTACGTGAACGATCAGTGTGTAACGTAAAAATTAAAAAATTGATAGTTTTTTAAAAAATCGCTTATATCTTGAAATTTCGCTTATTAAACTAACTTCTGCGTTCTAGCAAAAAAAATTCCTTGCGAAATTTAGTATAGTTTCTTCTTTTAAAGCCCTACTCTTACCCTAACACTAATCCTAATACTAATTGACGGTATTTTTTTTAAAAAAAAACATATAAACAACAACGATCATTTCCATTTTGGGCAGATTTATCCGACAAACTCTTATGATCATGAATGTATTTCTGTCTGTTATTTTTTTCATGTGTTACGAAATATTTACATTTACTTGAATTAAAACTCAGCCGACGACTCCCTACCAATCATATCGGATAACACCATTATTCGGCAAATTTTTGAATAACGGTAATTTGGCTCAACCGGGCTTCGCGGCACGTGTTCATTTGCCCGGTTGATTTTTTGCCGAATTTGTTGCCAATTAGAAGGGATGATCATATATACGTAACTCATTGTTGATCTACGTTTTAAAACATCAGAAACCTGATTTATTTTGATTATTTATTGAGCGATGTTCTTGCTATTTATTGCATTCGTTTAAATCAAATTGAATAATTGTCATTCTTAATAATCTTGAAATTTTTAGATCAAATTGAATAATTGTCATTCTTAATAATCTTGCTATTTATAGCATTCGTTTAAATTAAATTTAAGAATAATTGACATTCTTAAAATTTTTTTGCATATTATTTTAACGGATCTTTGCGATTACCGTAGTATTAGGCAATACTATGTATTACTGATGGCCTAGTACAATATTCACATAAACGCGACTACACTAAATTGTGTCAGATTTAATATGAATATTATGATTTTGGTGTTAATGTCAATCGATGGATACAAACCATAGGCTCTTACAAGCGTCTAGAAAAATTTATAAATAGCTAATCTTTTCATCCTTCTTTTTTTTGCGTTGCATTCCACTTAGCATCTCCACTTGATTTTAAATTTTTAACAAAAAAAAATCTGCCTCAAAAATGTTTTCAAAATTTCATTTGATATTTATCACCACTTTAACTTTCATTGCTATTATTATCAACTCTGCCCTTACCGCGCCTGTTGAAAATCCGAATAAACATAAAGGTATAATTTTCATTCTTGCAAATTTTTATCTGTAAAAATATAATTTTAACCGGTAGACGGGATGTCCCAGATATGTCCGCAAAAATGTTAACGTCTCAGACAATTAAAATTTTAATAAGGGCGGCCGTGTCAGACAAATTAAGTCATTTAATGAGCTGTTGTTCGGGACATGGGACATATTTGTGACTGTCAGTGTCCCTGCAATTTTAACTGTATACAATATTGCCGATGAACGTTACAACTTTTAAACTTTTTAATGGAATATAAACAATATAAGAATTTATAAATATAACAAGTGTTTTTTTAAACAATTCTAACACTTATCACTTTCAGAAATCTTCAACGCTCGTGTCGACACCGCAGTGTCCATCGTGACCAAGCAATATCCGTCTGCGAAATTGTATGAAGCCGATGGTAAGGCTTTAGGGGAGCTGACGAGAGATCCTGCGAAAATTGATCACATGAGAGTAGTTTTTTGGAATGAAAACCAAACGACGGTTATTATAGAGGAAACCAGCCTTGGCAAATTTGGCCAGCCAACATTGCTTAATGAGCCATGGTTAGAGGACATAGAAATCGAATGGCCAATAAAGATGACTTTAGATAGTGCCCACAAGCTTAAAGAAGCAGCTGGATTCAATGAGCCCTATAAGACCGTTACTTTACGACATATTCTGTATCCAGGCATAAGACATCCGCTTTTTATCTTTGGCAACGGTTCGTCACAATTTGTTTTTGTTGACACTGTGACCAGTAACGTAACTACCGGCAAATGAGTCTACCAGTGCTGCACCGATTCGAGAATAATAATTATTAAAAATATGTATATTACAAGACCTTTTTATACAATTTAATACAGTTCATTTTCGTTATAGCAAACTTTCGATATAATGAGGACTAATTAAAATGTCAATATAATGATATTAAGCTCTAGGTAGTTTATAATGCGATAGGTAGTGAATAGGTCTTTGAAATTTTATTTTATGCATATTATTTTCTTTATTTTGTTACTCTTATTCTTCTTTCGTATTTGTATACAGTTAACCCCCTCTATAGTTATCTCCTCTATAGTCACAAAATTAATATAATTACAAATTTATTTTTACTTATAGCTATATAGAGAATACCTCTATGTTAGTCGCACCTCTTTATAATCACAGTTTTTTGTATCCTAAAGTTAGTTATGTTAATAAAGTAAGATATTTGTATAACTCCAATTCCATTTTGGGAAGTGCATTTTTTTTGAATCTGTGCTCGGTTATGCAGATTATGCAGATCCTTGTGGTGCAGACAAAATTTTAAAATTCATAGCCATTAAATAGTTTGAGAAAAAAAATTTTGTTAGAGCACTAAAGATGGCTATTTATGTACATTTTTAAGAAATAAGCGATTTTTGACAAAGCGAACGTTTGTTTTGAAATTTCCTGATCGTGTTACAATACACCTGATCTTTGAAATTTGATTCGCAGGATCTGCGCACAGATTCCTAAAATTGCATATACAAGTACAGTCTCATGAAATGTGAGAGGAATGGTTCCGTTCAACTTTTTGGTGCCCTATATTTTTTCCTATTTTAGAAATTATGGTTATCACGTTTTGGTTAGTTAGTATAATCAAGATACGTAGCTTGTCATTTAAGGTAAATACTGATTCCTGTTAAAGACATAATGATTTAGATTATCATAATTAATACGTCATAATTAATAAGTATTTGTAATCTATAATCGAAATGGGTAAGCGTGGTTCTGTCATGAATTATCATGAAGGGACTTGGTTTAAAAATTATGGTTTTAATTTATTCGTCTTTGGAGTAGGTGTGTGATTTTGACGAGTTGTTTAACATATTTAACACATTAATTTTTAAGTACGCGGACATTATATGAATCCTCAGCATATAAAAGTTATTATTTAATGCTCTTAAGATATAATACAGTACTAGATAGTTTTAGGAAGAATTGCTTAACAAAAAACTTAGTCTTGGGTTTCATCGTTTAGCATCATAGTAAATGAAATCGTAGGTGATAATTATACACTAAAGTAGAACAAGCCAACAAGAGTAGATAGGATTAGTGAATTAAATACCCAATGATGATTGATGGTAGTAGCACAGTGTAAAGTGAGAATCGATTCTAGAATACGAAATAGCAAGTGATGGGAATTATTTATAAAATGATTTATTTCCTGAATTTTATTATTTCAGCTTCTGGTTCAGAAGTTGACATGATAAATTTTATAACTGAATAAACAAATGATTAGCTGTGCAATATAAATAATAATTATATTCTGGGTAGTTAAATATAAATGTATATTTGGCCACATAAATAGCCATTATACTTTACTGAAAAAATTTTGCTTATATCCAACTACCCAGGATATAGCTGATATATCTTCTGCTATCCACGTGTCATAATTATTATCGACTTATTTTAGTATTTTATTTATTATTTTAGACATTTAAGATTAAATAAGAATAAAGTATTTATGTTGTGCCTATAGTTGTTAGGCGAACCTAGATTTCGCCAAAAAAAAATTAAAAAGACGAAATGGAACCTGGCGAAATTGACAAAACCTGGCGAAACTAATAAAAGGTGGCGAAACTAATAAAATGGTAAGATTAAAAAGTTAATTAAAGAAAGTTAACCTTCTATATAATGATTAATCACTTTGTTTCTACTTATCTGCTTTCAAATTGTTGCATAAAAGTCAAACAATTTTTTAGTATCATTAAGGTACAAATCAAAATTAACAAACATTTTTTCAGATGAATTTGTTTACACCAATAAAGGGTTGAATTTGGATAAAACTGCTAAAGATCAATTCGGTTATTAACAGGGGCTTGAATTCATTCT